TATCAGAGAATCCCAGGAGAATGAACTCGGCCACAGTGCTTTGGTTAAACATTTTCTTTCCATTGTGTTGGTGAAAGCTGTGAAAAGAAAGTCAGGGATTTTGGTCGAGACTTGAAGGTCTGCTCTGTAGTCTCTCCACCACCTGAATTTCACAGTTGCCCTAAACATGTTTTACTCACTGAAGACAAAGTTCACAAATCCCACATGATGGACCAAAGTGTCAGAAACAAATCCTTCAGTAATCACCGTTCCATACACAAAATACACATGTATGCACATATATACTGTGCTATATGTGTACACACACACATAATATATGTCTAGTCCACATATGGTTTATATCTGTGTATTATGTAGAAGTTTTATGTGCATCTCTCTCTTTATATGTGTATTTAAAAAAAAAAAAATTTTTTTTTTTTTTTATAATTAATAAATGTTCATATTTATACGTACATACCTATTTTATATATGATGAGATCCCAAGGGAGCCCCCGGTGGTCTAGGGGAAATGACACTGCACTGTCACTGCAGAGACCCGGGTTCGATTCCCGGTCGGGGCCCCTCCCCGGGCAGATGGAGCTCGCTAGCCTTGTAAGGCAATCCATCTACGTCCTGAGGACCTCGCTGCCACCGTCCAAGCGTGCTTGGCCCCGGCAGATGAACCTCAGGATTAAAGGGTGGGCTCAGTTCTGCGCACACTGTGTCTCACCTAAAAAATCCAATGCGCAGGCTGGAAGGTGTAAAAACCTTCCCCGGTTCTTCGTTCGCGAAGAGACTGGCCATTATCATTATGATGAGATCCCATAATCTCCATGATGAAAACCCAGTGTAGCAGATTTTTTCCCCAGAAATATGTACAGATAGAAACAGGAGTCCCAACATGTCTGCAGTGGACCTTTCAGCAATAATCTAAAACTACTCAAATAGCTCAAAATTCAAAATGAGACAACCCCATTTCATCTAGAGCACTTCCACACAGAACAGCACTGAAAAGGAGCCCAACTTTCATGTATGCCGTGGGTTACATCCACAGGCCCCATCACTGTATCCAAAACAGCAAGTACAGAGAATGTGGAAATTTATCCCTAGTGGGGTATAGTTGCTTTAAATCTGTATGGAGGTTTCTTAAGGTGTGTGTTGATTTCTGACAGCAGAAGACTTACCTTAGTGGAGATGAATCCCAAGGTGCTTTTGTAGAATCAGAGAATCACACAACATCCTGAATTGGCAGAGAACCACAGAGGTCATTGAGTCCAACTTGTGTTCCCACACAGGACACCCCAAGAATCCCACCATGGGCCTGAGGGTTTTGTTCAAATGCTAT